GCAGTGCACCGCGATGCAGGGCTTGGTGCAGTGGTGTGCAGTGCACCGCGGTGCAGGGCTNGCTCACTCTTCACTCTGTCTCCTGGAGGCATGAGATGCGCTCACTCTTCACTCTGTCTCCTGGAGGCATGAGATGCGCTCACTCTTCACTCTGTCTCCTGGAGGCATGAGATGCGCTCACTCTTCACTCTGTCTCCTGGAGGCATGAGATGCGCTCACTCTTCACTCTGTCTCCTGGAGGCATGAGATGCGCTCACTCTTCACTCTGTCTCCTGGAGGCATGAGATGCGCTCACTCTTCACTCTGTCTCCTGGAGGCATGAGATGCGCTCACTCTTCACTCTGTCTCCTGGAGGCATGAGATGCGCTCACTCTTCACTCTGTCTCCTGGAGGCATGAGATGCGCTCACTCTTCACTCTGTCTCCTGGAGGCATGAGATGCGCTCACTCTTCACTCTGTCTCCTGGAGGCATGAGATGCGCTCACTCTTCACTCTGTCTCCTGGAGGCATGAGATGCGCTCACTCTTCACTCTGTCTTCTGGACGCATGAGATGCGCTCACTCTTCACTCTGTCTCCTGGAGGCATTAGATGCGCTCACTCTTCACTCTGTCTCCTGGAGGCATTAGATGCGCTCACTCTTCACTCTGTCTCCTGGAGGCATGAGATGCGCTCACTCTTCACTCTGTCACCTGGAGGCATGAGATGCGCTCACTCTTCACTCTGTCTCCTGGAGGCATGAGATGCGCTCACTCTTCACTCTGTCTCCTGGACGCATGAGAAGTACTCACTCTACACTCTGTCTCTACCAAGTGTCTCATTCTATCTTTACTCATTAGAGAGTCGTTTCAGCTTTATTTTTTCTAATTTTATGAGACCTATAATATTTCATTGAAAAAGGCTTACGAAGTAATTTTAAAAATCATTCATCTTCGAAATGGATCACTACAGTTTCCAGAATATTAAATTTAAAAAGACTCTCACTGGAATGGTTCACTTCAGTTCACTCTTCAATGGTTCACTCTCACTTCACAGAAGTGTATAATTTTAAAGGCCGTTACTTTTGTTCCCAAAAAAGTATATTTAAAAAGACCCTCGCTGAAACAGATCACGTCGGTTCTCAGAAGAAGCCGTCGTAAAGGTGAAGAAGTAGGTAAAGACCGTCGATGAAAAAAATCGCCTAAGTTCTCTGAAAAGTATAATTGTAAAGAAATTAGCTGGAATAGATCACTTCAGTTCTCTGATGAGTATAATTGTAAAGACAGTAGCTGGAATGGATCACTTCAGTTTGAAGATTAAATTCCTGGAGGTTCAAAGCACAGTCTTGAGGCACCGGCTGACTGCTGATTAAATCCTATAGGCTTACTCTAATGAGAACCTCGTATGTTTAACAATGGAAAATTGCCATAATTGCTTATCTCTTGAGGCAATAACCTCTTAATTCAGCCTCGCTGTTGAGTCCGTTGATGATGACCCTGGTAAGGAAGTTTATGATAAAGTAGAAAGATCGCGTCAGAGGATATATAGTCATGAAGTGAAAATAGATTTTACGATGAAATCAAGTTGATAAGGTAGAAACATGAATAAAATACTCATTCCAAAGCTTGAACAAGGCAATTCAAACCTGATTGTTGTGCCTCATCAATAATTTATATTATTGGTGCAGAGGACATTATAGGCGTTGGCATGCAGGAACCATGCAACGCTGCCTCGCCGGATGAGCATGACTGGCCAAGTGGATGTCCTTTCCGTCTCCTCAATTCGGGAGCTTCAAAGCGGTGACAGCAGCGACGACGTTTCCATGCATTAACCATTGTACTCGCTTGCGTGGACCTTCGTGAAGTGGGGAGCTGGTCACGCACAGTCTGCTGGCTGTGCTGCGTTGAATGGTGTGCTGGTCACGCACAGTCTGCTGGCTGTGCTGCGTTGAATGGTGTGCTGGTCACGCACAGTCGGCTGGCTGTGTTCATGAAGTGGGAAGCAGTTCGCGCATATTTATCTACTTAACGTAATCAGTAACGGGTTTCGTTCGATGAATGCGTTCCTGGTTTCATGACACACTACTATTTCAGTATTATTCCTATTGCTGTTTTTATATTGAGTTAAATTTATAAAGCCGTTAGACTTCAGAATCCCGAACTTTACAAGAGACCAGAAAACCATTGAACTTGTGGATCAGAGTGCGAAATAGTAGACCTACATGAGAAACTTGCTGCTCTAGGAGGACTGCATGAACGCTAGAAGAAGAATGAATCATGAACACTCTAGAAAAGTCAAATGAGGCTTTCTCCAGAGACCGCTATTACTTTCTTCTCTTTCGGTCTAAATTAACTCCGTAGCGCACTAGCGATGCCGAGAGTAAAAGAATTCGCCAGTAAATTGCATTGAATTAAATGCAGTACGTCAATACCTATTTAAAATGCAACGTTGAAATTGATAATACCGTCAGGAAATGGAAAAATCTCGGCGATTTTTTCAACTCTGATAAATAAACGATCCTAACTTCTAATAATTGATAGTCCTTAAAAGCCATGTGTAAAATAAAGAAATGCATCGAAGCATTTTATGCAGTCAAGGCGTCCATTAAAGACGCTGGCAGGCGAGCGTGCAGGAACACATTGACTAGGCCCTACAATAGGCCTAGGAGGATAAGAGCAATCATTTATCTATACGCCATGTCAGCGTTGCCGGGAGATGGACCAGACACTTGCCATCGATCATTCATGAGCCTGCAGCGCCAAAAACGAAATTGTCCGTTGAAAGCTAACGGCTCCGCCAACGAACATCTCGGCCGATGTGATGGCCGCTATAGGCGGCTGTGTCTGATCAGACTCAGCTACTTGCTGCTACTGCGCTTCAGTGCTGCTAATTTTGGAGCAATCGTTGATGCTAAACTTGATTATGATGATGATACTCATTAGTGTTGCTGTTTTAGTTGCTTCTTATCAAGGCTTACAGAGCTGTTGCGTGTGATTTGGCTGATCCAACTGGCTGGCTGTTGATTTTGTTCGTGCCGATGTCGCTTCCTTCGATACTTCATTTTCCCAAATCGCTATTAGTTTAAATTGGATTACTTGTCTTCATGAGATACATACCTGCCTAATGTGTTTAATTCCTCACTTCTTGATTAGGGTTGAAAATAGAACATTGATCATATGTGATCCGAAAATAAATAATTTCTCTTCTATATTTCTCTTCGAAAATAAATAATTTCTTAATCCAGTTTCCATTTGATAAAACTGTCGCAAAGTTCATCATACGTATAGTCTTTCAAGAAATGAATATAAGTGGAATTATTTCCGACAAACACTCTTCAAGCATTATATATTGAAGGAAGTAAACGACGAGCTTTAAACAAATATAGGAAAGAGCCGAGGCACGAGCAAGACGCGAGGGCCACAATAATGGCATTAGGGCCAAGGTTGGCAGAGAAGGAGCAGCTGNACATCGTCGTGGCCTCGGCTGAACATCGTCGTGGCCTCGGCCGAACATTGTCGTGGCCTCGGCCGAAAATCGTCGTGGCCACGGCCGAACATCGTCGTGGCCTCGGCTAAACATCGTCGTGGCCTCGGCCGAAAATCGTTGTGGCCTCGACCGAACATCGTCGCGGCCTCGGCCGAACATCGTCCTTTGCAAAGCCGGCTATTAGACTTGCTATATTCGCGATAGAGAGAGTCTGTGGTGCCGTTTCTTCCAAGGGACACACTAAATTCCTATTCGGCTATGGCCTGGTCAACGGGTGTTTGTTGACATTGTTCTTAGTAGGCTTTTGTAATAACTAAGTGAAACTCAAGCAGATTTTTTTGAGCTTTTTTGTGATGATTTTGGTTCATGCATCAGTAGTAAATTATAAGCGTGCGCCTTGGAGAAGTTTGCGGCAGTATATATTTAATTCTCACTTCATCATGTTCTCTATGTTTCCGACAAGTTTAACTTATTAATTGTCAAGAATGATGAATTTATTTTAATGAATTTAATAATTTAAAGAACTAATCATTTATTTCATTCAATAACCAGACAAAAATATTATTATTGCATAAAGAATGTAATGAATATGATTAATTTTCAGATTTTATTTCTTTGTCGTTGTTTTTCTTTACTCATAATGAGAATCTGGCGTTCAATTGAACATTACACCTCAACTCATCGTTCAAGTCTCGAACTTTATTTATAAAAACAATTGCATCTATTTTCTTGCCGTTTCGTTGCCCAAAACAAACAAATGAAGGAAACTGCGGACGGTAAAGACGTGAGTTCAGGCTGCTGTCGTTAGCATCTTGCAGTTTAGATGTTTAGTGCCTCGTCAAAAGCCTTATAACGTTTGGACGGCGGTAGGAATAGGACTAACATACATGGTAGTCAACAGACGAGGTTAGTTTCCGCTCTAGTCCTAAAAGCAGCAGCCTTAATAAGTAGCGTCATAACAACTGAGCGTCCATGCAAATTAGCAGCAAAATGCCACAAACATTGCGTTTGATAAAAAATATGTCATATTGGATAGTTTTTACTATTTTTAATTTGAAGCCTTATAGTTGTTAAAAAAGTTGTGGAAATTCCCGCATGACGGTTTGAAAATAATTAATGCTTCTTGATCATATTCAAGCATCAAGAAATGGGTTTAGACAAAGCCTTTTTAAATATTTACTTCCACAAATCAGAATTAATGTTAAAGTGTATCAGTTTTAGTATTTTTCGAAATTCTAACTGTGCAAACGAACTAGATCTGATCTCCGCTTGCAGTAAGCTATTCAAGAGACTCCAAGTCACGCGTGCTAGCGATAAAAGTGCATGGCAGGAAAAATTATTCGAAGCATGACTACAATGAGCCCTGTATCTGCAAAAAATCTCAACATTCTACGATAAGGTTTTTTAACCCTCTACCGCCTGACATTGTAGCTGCGCTATGCTTTCGTCTTTTGTTGACCAGGTTCCCGCTGTTAACGTGAGGAGGTCGTCGCATCCGCTGCGGGTCTTTTTAATGATCAGCATGGGGTGGTGACTATAACCTCGTGTTGCTTGAATTTTTGGAAATAATTCAGTAATTTTATTAAGATGCAAGCTGAAATTCGTTCCTCTTACTAGATTACCGTAGCAGTGATTCATGATCTCTTTGAGTGGCGGGTAAGCCTATGCATCTTGTGAATATATGGTACACGACCTTACTATTACCTTGGTTTATAGTTCTATACTGTTTATTTGCACATTTCTAACGTGTGGAGATGCACAGGATAAATACTGGCAAACATCCCCCGTTCGATTGTAATATTGTGGAACAGCTTAGTTGGACTATAATATAAAGCCTATTTTGTGTGTATTTGATGGATATTCCAGGTGGACGTGGGCACCAGGTTTACCTTCGAGCTCGAGGGTCAGAGCACTTCGGATTAGCTCCTTATTTGAAATTCCCTCGGTAACAGAAGATTTGAAGCGAATTATCTTCACCTGAGGACGAACCCTGTATTAGTGTGATCTGGAAGTCCTCGCTTTCCGTGATTTGACGTGCAGACCAATTTGTCAACTGTGGTATTGGTCCTCATAACGCAAATGGTTATCCCTGCTTTTCGTGTAATCAATTTTGCTATGGGTCATCCGTTCGTTTATGTATTGAGTTAGGTTTCCGGTAAGAAGGGCTTTTTTGTGTGCACCTGTTAGCATGTCTTGTCTATAGGGACCAATATGTTGCTCGAGGCAAGCTAGGGTTGAGCTATTTTGAAGTTCCCAATACAGCTATGCAGCTCTAGTTAGTGAAAAGTCTCTCCTTATCACTATCGCGTCTATGATATAGACAGATAGCATATATATGTTGTAAGCTCTCCCGCAACAACATGAGTAAACGGAGCAATATTGTTACACAAGCCTACTCATAAAAGATACGTTCTAGTGAGCGCAAAATAACTTACACTGATGGTTGCCGCCACGCGCGACCACTTTAAAATGTTCTCTGTTGCGTACAAACGTCCTCAAGTTGTTACACTCAATAGTTTACGTAAAATTTAATTTTAAAGTTGTGTTCCCGGAGAGTGACAGACGGCAATATAGGGTTAAGAGATCGATCGGTAATGGTAGTAAAAAACTGTTGCAAGAGCTTTTTTTCATTGCATTGCCACATTGACTTCTGGTATAAGAGGTTTTACAGGTTTGAGCACTACGTTTCCATACATGTTTTTAAACGCATTGCCGCAGTGATCCCGTTAGAGCCCATTACGCTGGCTGTAAATTGCCGCACTGGGCCAGTTAGAGCCCATTACACTGGCAGTATCCTGACTACACGCATTGACGCAGTGGGCTAGTTAGAGCCCATTACACTGACAGTATCCTGACTACACGCATTGACGCAGTGGGCTAGTTAGAGCCCATTATACTGGCAGTATCCTGTCTACCGGCGGTACAGGGCAGGCAACGCTCGCTTGACTGTAGAGGTGTCAGTAAACCCCGTTGTAGACTAGCACTTATGTCGCCTCATAAGGCAATGTTTGGGAACAAACCATAACACGGCAGGATGTTAGTTGTGATTCTTTTTCGCACTATCTTAGAAGTAGTATACCTACAAAATGCAAAAGAAATAGCTCCATCATTTTACATCAGAACTCGCATTGGTCTAATAAAATTAACTCTCTCTGAAATAATTTTAGTACTTTGATTAAGTGTAGAATGATGATTCAACGGTACAAAAATATTTTGACCAGATTTAGATCCTCGTTGGTCAACTTGAAATATATTTCAAGATTGTCGATCCTGTAAATCCAATTCAAAATAATTTGATCCCTGTTCATAACCAATAACATTTTTAAAGCAAAATATTTGACTAATTTTTTGACACCTACGTATATTGCATTAAGAACGGCAGCTCCCGTACACATGCAGTCAACTTAACTAAAATGAGACGATAACATAATAATACAGCCAAACAATGAACCAATCACAGCAAGATCAGTACACTCTCGTATCACCAAACTTTGATGTTGCAGGGTCTGCTCTCTGAGAAAAGTTAGAGCAATATTATAGCAGGCCCTGCAGCTACCACTCGTACGTCACGCGTAATTCTCAAACTGTTTCAATAAGGGATGAACAGCCTACCTCAATAAGGAATAAACAGCCTACCCTCAATAAGGGATGAACAGCCTGCATGACCTCGTTCATTGTTTACCGGATCTCGAGAGTATCATGGCGGTTCAATTTGGCAATGGTGAATGTGTAGAGTGCAAATACGCTATTAGAGTGGTGTGCAAATAATAATGGTAATAATAATAATGTAATGATAACAATGGTGTGTAGAGTACAAATATTCTATTAGAGTGGTGTGTTGAGTGCTGTTTAAATATTGATGATAATAATAATAATGTAATAATAATGCAATGTAAAGTGCATATACTATATTTTTGGCGAAGCGTGTAATGTGAACTATTCAAGTTTGGAATGTTCGTAAGTTTTTCAAGTAAACTAGTTATTCTGGATTCGATTTTAATAAATTTAGCGGAATTATAATGCAAAGGCCAGCCTACAGTGCAGAGTGAACTTTTTCCCGAGTATCAACGATAAAGCCGCGTAAGAAGCAGAAGAGTTTCGTAGATGTAACACCAACAGAATAAGCACTCAGACAAAAAATTATCACATTTTTCTCACACGGAAAGTCTTCTTTTATACTCGAAGGTGGAATTTTCCAACACATTTGCTCAGAAGGACGTTCTCATCAAGGGTGACTCCAACAAAACTCCACCCTGTAGCGCCACCTTTTTTCTGTGCCTAAATTAATTAGATTTTTGAGACAGCTAAAAAAATAACTTGTCTTTGGAGCGGCCTCTTTGCTGGTCCAACGGGACATTTACAGCCGAGAAGCTGGAAATATTCTGTCATGTCAGCTGTAGAAATATTCGTCCCAGGAGCTCCCACTCAATTATTTACATCGCTGTCATAAAAACATATTAGTGGATATTGTAGTATTAAGTATATTTCGGCCAACCCGTAGCTTTAAACTTTGCTGACAAAATCACTTTGAACTGTTTTTTGGATGAAATTAGTTACTCACTTTTTTATTTTTGAAAGAGTTTTATTGTACCAGAAATTTTAGTAGTACGTAATGAGATTGTTGCGTCATATTAGGCCCGATTTTTTATTGTTCTGTACGAGTAGGCATACACGAAATGCGTATGGCTGAAAATTACGTCTCGTGGGAGCATTCAATTGAATACAAAAAATCATGGAGGACCACTTAGAAGGACATTAGCCGTCGAGCCCCATTTGATGCGCCATTATCACGGCGCTGTATTACGACGCCTTTACAGTATTGCAGCAATACCAGGGCAATATTGTCGCTACATTAACTGCACATATTGAGTGCCATTAGGCAATGACGTCTCCCTTCTCTCGCCCCCCAATCGAATTGCATCGACTAGCACATTCGCCTTGATGGCTCTCTGATTTTTTAGGACCAATTGGCCAGCTTTTAGAAGAATTAGAATGGTACTCCGAAGACTTCTGTCCGATTTATTTCTCTTCGGTTGATTCTATGCAAAAAGTGATGAATCTGCCTGCTCAGGTTCTAAAATTTGTATAATTTTCATCTATTTTCACTTAAGAAACCTTTATATTTTTTACCAATAAGCTGCAGCAGGGTGCAATTGACGTAGTCATAGCACTTGTATTGGGGCATTTTTAGTGTCAGTTCAACGCGCAATGCCAACTAACGTCTATGTGCTTGTCACCAATTTCTGAAACTTAGCTTGCTAATTTCTTATCCCAGCACACTAGTTACTTCTTGCCTGGCTAACTTTAATACCAAATCTCTCTGGTATCAAAGCATCAAATATCGACACGCCCAAAGTTTCCTCGCGCCGCACGCAACTTCATAAAAATGCCTCATCACAACGCGTCCGCTTTACAGAATTAAACTCTGAACTAAGTTCGTGTCTCCAGACTCAGGACGTAGCAGCGACATTTAAGTCTAAATCCTTCTCATGACTTACCGAAGCTAACCTAATTGCTGTGATGCATGCGCTACCTTGCTTCAGAATTATGTTGTAGTGCAGCGGCATGAAGCGTGGGCCATTTCCATAACTGGTGCGTGCAATGATGACACCGATGAATGCAAGCTGGTTATAATTAATCATTCAGGAGAAAAATTCATTCAATTTTATTGTTCATGGTAATTCTTGCATACAAGAAGTTCTTTACAAGCATCATATGCGTTCAGAATTTACAAGGTCATTTATGTAAATTGATGCTAGTGAATTAATTTTACTGGACTGGATCCCCTCCTTAAAATTAAACGACAGGCTCTTCTTAACAAGATATATGCTCTCGAAAATTATTATATGTATTATATTATATTGTATTTGATTATTTAATATTATATTATTAGCAAATTTCCAAGGCAGAATACAGATATAACTACAGTAAACGAGAGAACGTGAATTTTTCCTCTGCTTGAATAGGGAGATCGCATGGAATTTTTTCATCGTTTTGATTTACATTGACTTCCTAGAGCTCTTCTTTTCGTTATACAAATACTCAATGGAACAAATCGTGGTGAAAATAACCAAGATATCAACTTAATGTCCCTAGATTGCAATGTTGTGAGACAAGCGCATGCATGTTAGTGGCATGCGCCCTGAAGCAAGGCATGCCAGGATGAGCTCCTCCGTAAGTCTGTGCCTCGTATGGCAAAATGTTTCACATCAAAATGACGGTGGCTTCATTAATCTTAGGTTTTATGCCGACCAAGTAATTATTATATTACATAAGTTAATTTTCAATAGGCAGAGAACTTCTTGTCACTGAGATTGCCATGTTGTAAGACACGCGCATGCATGTTAATGCGTGCGCCATCAAGCAAGGCATGCCAGGACGAGCTCCTCCGTAAGTCTGTGCCTCGTATGGCAAAATGTTTCACATCAAAATGACGGTGGCTTCATTAATCTTAGGTTTTATGCCGACCAAGTAATCTACGGACGCCGCCACGCACGTGCGTTCTTCGTGTACAGAAACTCGGCGCAATTTCATCCATCCCGCTGCTGCGACTTGCTTTTTGGTGCGATGCTCGCCTCTCTGCAAAAAATCTATCAGGAAATATATATTTTCACAATCTTATAACGCACAGGAATCGTTTACTAAGAGAGTCGGCAAATATTTATAACTCTATATTATATATCATCATACCTCATCGCTTGTTAGCGCATTTTCTGATTTATGGAAAAAATGCACTATTGTGCTCGCCATGTCCGTCCGTCTGTCCGTCCGAGACTTCACTTTTTCGTCGACGAGAAAATGCGCGCTCTGTCACTCACTGCAGTGAGTACTGAGTTATATTTTTTTATCAGTGACTCAGCAAACGATCATCAGTAAAATTCAAGGGCTGCATATCAATGCGCTAATATCTGTTGAGTTCAATATCTGAGTTGGGTTCAATTTATGAGTTGATCGTCATCATTGATTCATATGAGAAAAAAGTTTCCGAAACTTAAATAGCCTTTATTCCCTCCTATAAGTTTGAATATCCAGAAAACTTGCGAGAGGTGTATACATGTTTCGATTGCTTGTGCACCCTTCAACCTAATCAGAAACGAAACATTATTTTCATAAACGTTATGACATTAATTATCGCTCAAGTTCAAGGACAAGGAGTACTATTTAAACGTAAGTCTGAGCCAATCATTCTTTTATTCAGGAGACTTTGCTGGAGTAATCTCGAACAATATTGTATTACTATTATATGGTAGGGATGGAGTCTGTTCATAACGAACAACGTATCTCACTGC